AGACTCAGAGGCTGAAGATCCAAGAGCCAGGAAATCAACAGTAAACTCTGCTCAGCGTGGAGAGGCTGGGCCAGAACAAGTGTGTTAGTTCCAGGGCTTCAAGTCCCAGGAAACTGGGGGGGGGGGGGGGGAGCGGGGGATGGGAGAGAGAATCCATTTCCCTGCCTCTGCCTTTTTGTTCTATTCTCCTCCACAAAAGACTTCATAGTCTGCCCACAAGGGAGACAGATGGTCTTATTTATTTATTTATTTATTTATTTATTATTTATATTTGCTTTTTGGCCCCCAACTCCCAGCAGTGCTCAGAGCTTACTCTTGGTTCTGTGCTTAGAGAGAGCACTCTTGCTGGGCTCAGGGGACCACATGGGGTACCTGGGATTGAATTCAGGTGGATGCATGCAAAACAAGTGCCCTTCCTGTAGTACTGGCTCTCAGGCCCCCAGAGATTGTTCTTAAATCACAATGTTTGGGGTATCTTCCAAGCAGCACTCAGGGGTAATGAGGGGGTAACTCCTGGCAGTTCTTAGCCTAAAGAGCTGATGGTGAAATGTGAGAGATCAGTGCTGATTAGGCCTTGCAGTCCTGGGGACCCCAGGGGTTGCCCCTGCAGTGTTGGGGGCCTCCAAGGATGCCCAGGGTACCATATGGATTGAAGCAGGGTTGGCTGCATGCAAGATAAGCACTGTAACTCCTGAACTATCTCTCCAACCCGAATCAGTAATTTTGGGGTGGAAGAGGGTCACACTCCTGTTGTTTGGGGATCCATGTGGTGGTGGGTCTGAACCCCAGTCTCCTGCATGCAGACCACGTGCTCCAACTCTTTTAAGTCTCACCCTGGTCCAGAGAGATAGTCTTTGCTGATTCACTGATTCTAATGCGAATGGCTTCTAGGCCACCCTCACAGCACCCCTAGAAAAAGAGGTTTTACCCATTCTCTAGGCATTGCTTTGTCTTGACAAGTTGGCACATAAGTCCCCCTGTTTGTCAATCCCCCCCTCTCAGGGCACTGCAACGTTATTGAGGCTTTGGCATAATTCATTGGGAATTTTTTTTGAAGGGTGGGGATGAGGTTTTGGGCTGGTACACCTGGTATTACTCAGGGGTTACTCCTGGCTCTGTGCTCAGGGTTCACTTCTGCTGGGGCTCAGGGGACCCTAGGGGACTCCGGGGATGGATCCAGGGTCGACTGCCTGCAAGGCAAGAGCGTTACCTGCTGCTCTGTCCCACCGTCCGGGGCGGTCTAAATTACTGCCTTCACTTAAAAAAAAGATTCAACCCTACGCCTACTGTAAAAGACACGATTAAGATCTGAAGAGACAAAGAAGTTAGAGGTAAGAGGATGGCATGGCCAGGAGACGCGGCACCCAGACACATGGAAAGGGACCGGTCACTTTCGGAGGGTGCCTGGGCGCAGGGGCTACTCCAGGCTCCGTGCTCCCGAGCGACCCCTGGCAGTAATAATCTGCCATTGCAGCCACATGACGGGTAAGGACCTGCCTTACCTGCCGTGCTCTCAGACCCGAAACCCACATTTTATTAGCTTCCCATTCCTCTGGTCTGTCTCATTTCTCCCGCCTTCCTGACACTGATAGTTGCTGTCTAAATTCCCTTGGTTGTATTTTTATTTTCTCTAGAGAAAAATTTTATAGAAGAACAAAACAAAAAGAGACACCACACACCACAAATACGAACATAAATAAGTCCCCAGAAAAACAAACAACAACAACAAAAAACACAGCTTGTTGCAATTTAAAAAAATCCGTACCAAATAAAAGTGCACACACTTGGGGAAAAAATGAAAAAATGAAGGAAACTATATTAAGGAAAATAATAAATATAAGAGAGTTAAGAACAATATTATAATGAAATTTGACTACAGAGCTGGAGAATTAATTAAATTCGCTGAGTGCATACTCTGTGTGTAGGAGCCCCAGGTTTGATTCTCTGTATCTCATAGTTCCCCCAACACTGCCAGGAGAGTCTCCAAGCACAGACTAGCTCCTGGGTGTGCTCTCAAAACAAAAACAAATTTGATTAGAAAAGAACATTTCATGGTCATAAATTGCTTAGCACTCATCTTAAATACAGCAAGTCTAAATGTATATTGTCACAAAGCTGGGGTCAGGGAGATGGTCCAAAGAGTTGGTATGCCCGGGTTTGATCCTTGACACTGCATTGGCCCCACTTCTCTCCAGAATTGCTGAGTGTGGCCCCCCAAATCTAACAAAATATATAACAGAAGGCTAGATAATTAACAGTTATAATAGTAGGCCCTCCCGTTGATCATCGATTTGCTCGAGCGGGCCCAGTAACGTCTCCATTGGAGACTTTGTTGTTACTGTGTCTGGCATATCAAATACTCTCGGTAGCTTGCCGGGCTCTCCGAGAGGGGTGGAGGAATCGAACTCGGGTTGGCCATGTTGGCCGCGTGTAAGGCGAACGCCCTACCCGCTGTGCTATTCTTTCAGCAATGTTGTGTAGATTTTATTATCTCTCTCTTTCACATCCTTATGACTTTTGTTTTGCTTTGGGTCACACCTGGCATCGCTTGGGCATATTCCTGGCTTAGTGCTTGTGGCTTACTGCTAGCAGGGTCTGAGGGGCCCTATGTGATGCCAGGGATACACCAGGATCTGCAGTGTGCAAGACAAGTCCCCGACCCACTGTATTATCTCTCCAGTTCAATGCAACTAATTTTTGTATTGGTTATATATATATACATAGGTTATATATATACACACATATATATACACACATATATTATGCTTTGCTAAATTTGATAAGATTTGTGTTTTACCAATTTTGGGAGGAACTCTTGAGGGTATTCTAAATATAAAATATAAAATCAGATCCCACACACATGTAATGCGGATGGCATTAGTATATATATATAATATATATATATATTTGAAGTGACAAAGTTTTATGCAGTTAAAATAGTTTTGAGGGGCTGGAGCGATAGCACAGTGGGTAGAGCATTTGCCTTGCATGCAGCCAACATGGCCAACACAGGTTCGATTCCCAGCATCTCATATGGTCCCCCGAACACCGCCAGGAGCAATTCCTGAGGGCATGAGCTAGAAATAACCCCTGAGCATCGCCAGGTGTGACCCAAAAAGCAAAAAAAAAATTGTTTTGAGCCACTAGACTTGAGACATTAACTAACGTATTTGAAGTCATTCATAAGTTACCAAACATGCTGCCAATACTCGACTGTGTATTTCCTACAAGCAAGAACATTATCCATTATATCCATCATGAAACCAGAAACTCAACACTGACAGATGACTACCAGAAATCCCACACACCCAGCCACTTCACTAAGGCCTTATTTTTCACGCCAGTGTTTGAAATTTGTATCTGGTCAAAGTGATTTTTTTACCCCAGCTTAAAAAAATATTTCAAGGAGCTAGAGAGATAATAGTTGCCTGGCACACGGTTGGATCCAGGTTGGATGGCTGGCATTCCTTGAGGTCCCCTGAGCACTGTCAGGAGTAATTCCTGAGCCCAGAGCCAAGATTAAGCCCTGAGCATAGCCGGATGTGATCCACCCCCCAAAAAAACCCTTCAAATATTCAAAAACTTCACGACACAAATTAAAAATGAAGGATGAGAAGCTGGAGAGAATGTAGTGGGTTAAGGTCCTCACCTTGCATCCCACTGACCCAGGGTCCAAATCCCTGGTACTGTGTATGATTCCTAAGCACCACTAGGGGTCACTCCTGAGTAAAGAACCAGGAATAGTCAGGAACACATGGAAGTGGAGTCCCAACCCCCCTTACCTCCTTAACCCCCCAAAGATGAACAGTTGGGATCTGAGTGATAATACAGTGGGTAGGGCACTTGCCTTGCATGCAGCTGACCCCGGCTCAACCCTAGCATCCTATATGGTTTCTTGAGTCTGTCAGGAGTGATTCCTGAGCCAGGAGTAAACGTAAGTCCCACCAGTGTGGTCCCAAAACAAAACAAACAAAAAAACCCAAACAAACCGAACAGATGAACGATGAACCAATAGATACTGGGGTACCAACAGATGCAGACGTCCCCGGGTTTCCCACGGGATAAGGAGAACCCTTCATTCCACAGTCCACCCGGAGACACCCTAGAAATGGTGGAGCATGAGGAAAGGGAGCTGAAAGTCTGGGGCTCAGAGAGGTCTGGGCTTGATGGTGCCCACAGGGTTTTGCACACCCTTTCAAGGCCAAACTCAAAGCTGGCAACGTCGATTGACCACCAGGGGGCGTCGTGGGACAAGCCTGGGACGGTTCCTCCGTGCGCCGCAGACTCGGGGCGGAGCCCTGGAGGGTGCAGGGCGGGCGCTCGCCACGGGCTCCACCCATCTCGGAGCATCCCCGGCGGAGCTTGCTGGGCAGCTTGACTGGGTGCCCGCGGAGCCTCGGCCCCCGCAGCTGCAAGGCGAGAGTCTGGTGCTTCCAGCATCCCTGCGGCGGGCCTGGGAACGGGCCTGGGAGCGGGGGTGTCCGGGGCCTTGGGGAGAGGCCGCGTGGAAGGGGCGTGGGAATGGGGTTCTTCTCGGCCGGCCAGGTGCCACTTGAGTGCGCGTCTGCCCCCGGGCGCGTGCAGGCGGGGGCCTGTCCCTACCGGGACAGCTGGGAGCTGGCACTCCCGAATCCCTCTCCAGCAGCACCCCGCCACGAGAGAGCCAGACGTCGTGGTCAAGGGGGACCTGGCGCTAACTTCCCATACCCGTGAGCTTGGGGTTTCCAAGGGACCGAGATGCAAAACGCTTTGGAGGTCGGCTGGCTCCCCCAAGAAAGAAGGGGGGGCCGTTGCTAAGCATAACGTGAACCACCAGCAAAGCTCCATAAGCTCATTTCCCCCCTGGCTTGGCTCTGCCCAAATCCCCCCCACCTCGGCCTGGCCTCTGTCAACCTGCTTCGTTCGCCAGGGGTCGGAAGGAGGCACAGACACTACGCGCTGGGCGGTAGCACTTTATTTGCAAGACGAGGCCCCCCGAGTTCGCCGCGCCTTGCAGGGGCTCAGAAGATCCTCACGGACTCCAGCTGCACGTCCCCGCCCACCTCCAGCAGGCGCACGCGCGCCGCGGGGATGCGGTAGCGGAAATGGTGATACTCCTGGTCGCCGATGATCGCCTGCAGGGACAGCGGGCAGGGCTCTGTGTGAGCTACCGGGGCTCCTTCGGGACTCGGCCCCGCTGGGCGACACACCCACCCCGCCCCTGGCCCCCGCGAGGGTCCTCTCCTCTGGGGCTTGTTTCTGGACTCGGTCCCCCATCCCCCTCCGCGTCCCTGCTGCACATCCCAGCCCTCAGGACATCAATGGGAGGGGGGCATCCACCCGCTGGGACCCTCGAGTGAGAACTTCTGGCCCTGCTGACTTGAATAGTTTTTTTTTCTTTTCTTTTTGGGTCACACCTTGCCGTGCACAGGGGTTACTTCTGGCTCATGCACTCAGGAATTACTCCTGGTGCTGGGGGACCATATGGGATGCTGGGAATCGAACCCGGGTCGGCCGTGTGCCAGCCAAACGGTCCTACCCGCTGTGCTACCGCTCCAGCCCCATTGATAGGGTTTTGTGGGAGGCAGCGCCCAGTCCTCCACACGCCTTAGCCCCATGCCCCACCCCCAAAGGTGTGCTGATGAGGGGCCTGGGGGTGGGGAGCGCACCTTGAAGCCTTCAGGGGTGGTGATGAGGAGCACCTCGAAGGGCTGGCCACCCTGGATCGGGATGCCTTTGCCTCGCTCCTCTTTGCCCCACTTGCCCTGCTCCAGGGTGTTGAAGACCACGGTGGACTCGTCCAGCCTGGGGTTGAAGTGCAGGGCGGCCTCGCTGTCCTTCTCATCACTGCAGAGCAGGTTGACGTAGAACCTGGGGGTGGGGGTGGGGATGGGAGACTGTCATCCCCTACAGCCAGAGTCATGCAGGCCCTTCACAGAGTCCAGCCCCAGGTCAGTCATGAGACAGAACAAAGGTGCCCCAGAGCCCAGCGAACTCCCATCTACTCAGCCTACAATTAAGGGGGGAAACACTGGACAGACAACCCTCTACCCCACTCCAGAGAGGACCACCAAGCCAACGCCCTTCATTTCCAGGGCCTGGGGCTGCCCAAGGAGCTGGGGACGAAATCTGTCCATTCCGGGAGCCTGAGATTCCCAGATGTTCCAGTTCCAGGATAAACCGCCACCTCTGGGTTCCAAATGCTCTGGGCAGAACAGATTTTCAGAGCTCTTGGGGAGCTCAGATGGGAGATTATAGCACTACATAGGGACCCTGATTGCCCTGAAACCTCAGATCCTTAGAGATATGTGAGAAATCCAGAAACATAGTCAGGTACCAACGCCTCCCCCACCAAAACAAAAAACCGGTGAAGAGGGCAGAGTACTTTGACTTGAGGGTTCCAAGTGTGGGGGTGCGGGGGTATGAGTGTATGTGTGGAGGTGAGTGGGCAGGGCTGCTCCCGGGCTCTGCTCCCCCTCCCCTGCTGTGAGATCCAGAGCACACTTGGTATCACCCAGCCCTTTGTGGGGGGAGGGGGTTGCTGAGACTCACCTGCCAGCCTTGTTGGGAACCACACCCCGAATTCGCATCACTTTGCCCACGCCAACGCCCTCAGGCAGCGGAGTCTTGTGGGGTACGTTCTGGAGAGAAGGGAGGAGGGGTCCAAGTGAGGCTGGGAGAGAGGCAACCAGGAGGGCTGAGCCCCCCAGGAAAGGAAAAGAACCAAGATGGAGACAAGGAGCTGGTGGGGTGGGGTGGAGGGGCGGGGGAGAGGGAAGCAGGCACAGAGGGAAATGGAGGTACCCAGGGAAACGGGCAGCGAGACCCCCCCCATCCCCAGTACACAAAATATTCAGAGGCCTGGAGGAAAGCAGGAGACAAGCGCCGGGGGCAGGGGTCAGCCCGGAGCCTTGGCCCATACCCCCCAACACCCACTTTCTCCTACCCAATGGGCAGCCTCAGCTAGGACCCCCCTTCTCCCAGACTCATCTGTGCTGTCCTGGCCCTGAGAACCCCCCAGACCCCTCACCATGCTTCCTGGCTGGGACTGGACAGGCAATGGCGCTGGGGGTGCGTGGGGGCCTTAAATAGAAGAGGGGCGTGGTGGGGCTCTGACTCACTCCTTCCCTTTCCCCACCCACCGCCCACACCCCGCCCAGACCCTGGCCCCAGGCGACTGGCACAGGTCCCCCCTCTGTGCGAGACTGCACCTCCATCTGCTTGCCGGGGCTTCCTGGGGGGCCCTGCCCCCGCCTTGGAGCAAGTGGCGATGCCCTGAGCTAGTAACTCAGGGACCGAAGATAAAAATAGGGCATGTGTGTCTGGCATGAAGCAGTAGCAGCATGGCGGCGGCCAGGAGGGCCCCCGAGCCTCCCGTTACCACCTTCCCATTCCAGGCCGGGAGAAGGCGCAGTGATGCCAATGCTCACATGGAGAACGGGGCCCAGAGTGGACCCCAGTGAGAACCCACTGAGTCCAGGGGCTAGAGCCCTAGTACAGTGAGCTGCACCCTTTGCACACAACCTGCCCGGGTTCGGTCGCCAGCACCGCTTCTGGTCCACCAGGCTACCAGGAGTGATCTCTGAGGGCAGAGCCAGGAGTAAACTCTGAGTACTTCCAAGTATGGCCCCCAAACCCAAACTGAGGGGCTTGCCTTGCACCTGGCTGGCCCAGGGTCCCCCAAGCACCTCCAGAGGAATCCCTGAGCACCACTGGGTGTGACCCCAAAACAAAACAAAACAAAGGCCCAGTTGGAGCTCGTTGCCTTGGGTGTTGGTCCTGCTGCGGGAGACTCCCAGGCAGGGCTCGGGGACCCAGTCCCAGTGAGTCTCAGCCTCATCGCCAGCTGCGGCCAGTGGTTCCAGGCAGATGCAGTGGAGCCAGGTGGGGTGCGGGCACAGGGCCATCAGCTGGGCTCGAAATCGGGGTCTGGAGCAGGCCCGGCTTGTACTCCAGCCCTTGAGTCCCCTTCCTGGTCCCTTCCAGGGACAGGGTGTGTCTCCGTCAAGGTCTCTGGCAGGCTTGAGTGCCTGGATGTGCCCTGAGGGCCAGTGTGGCCTCCTGGTTGCTCACCTGGTGCCTGGACATGGAGGAGCCTCTAGGTGAGGGCAGAGCAGGGAGGGAGGTGACCTCTCTCCTGCTGAGGACTACACAGAGGCCAACACTGTCCACAGGGAGGGGCGCTGCTACCCCCATGGTACACATAGGGAAACTGAGGCTCAGAAAGACGAGCACTTACCAAGCCCCTTAGTGCCTAGAAGCTACTCCCAGGACAGTGCTCTGGGACAATGTGGTATGGGAGGTTAAGCTTTGGGCTCCAGCCCTTAGGGTCATATTGTCCTCCAGCCCCAAGTTTCCCTTCTCTGGAATATCCTACTCTGCCTCCCCCGGCCGCCCCATAACCCACACCTCTGCCCCCCACAGGTGCCTCCTCTTCCCTTAGAGTCTCTCTCCCCATCCCAGAAGTGCCACCATCTCTATCCTGATTAGTGTGTGTGTGTGTGTGTGTGTGTGTGTCATGAATGATGTGTCCTAGAACCCAGCCCATCCAGCCCAAGGAGGAGAACCCAGTGGCACCCCCAGCCAGGCCCCAGAACACAATGGAGGCTGAATCCGGGCTGGGAAGGGTAGGGTGGAGAAGGTAGAAAGAAGGTTCTGGAAGGCTGGGAGAAGGGAGAGTGGGGCACTGAGCAGAATTGTTCCTCTGGACTAGCAACCTCTGTGTCCCTCCTCCCCCAAACCCCCGCCCCACTCACTGTGGGGAAAGAGGCCCGTGGCAGAGACACCCCTGAGTGAGTAGAGGCAACAGACTCAGAACTTGGTCTGTCACCCAGGGCCTCCCGACTCTCCATCCCACCCCAACCCACCAGCACCCCACAAGGCGTGTTGGGGTGCAGCTGAGGAGCAGGAGCTTCAGAGACGGGGACTGGGAAGCTGCAGAGGTGAAACCCAACATTAGCTGGGGTGCCCAGGAGAAGCGGGGTGTGTGCCAGGCAGTTGGGCCAGAGCTTGCACAGAGGACCCTCGGTTGAGTCCCAGAGCAGCACCCTCAGAATGGTGAGTCTCATTGGCAGAAATTGGGGGTCTCAGCTCGCATGCACCCCTGGGGCCGATGACTCACCTTTCTCTCATTTCTCCATTGTGTCTGGATATTTCTTCACGTGCCCCCGACGGACAAGTCCAAACTCGACTTGAGTGCAGGCCCAGATGTTGGCGGTGTCCAACCATTTTCAGTCGAATTTCTGGTTCTTGTCTCAGATCTCGGGTGCATCCTGACAGCCTGTAATTCAGTGACTGATTACCTTCATGTTGGTTCTGGAATAACGTTCCCCCCTCCCCCCTGGGAGTGGTTTCCTTTTCAAATAAAATAAGTGTCTGTATTTCATCATTGTCTTTCTTTCTTTCTTTCTTTCTTTCTTTCTTTCTTTCTTTCTTTCTTTCTTTCTTTTTGCTTTTTGGGTCACACCCAGCAATGCACAGGGGCCACTCCTGCCTCATGCACTCAGAAGTTACTCCTGGTGGTGGTCGGGGGACCATATGGGTTTTTGGGAATCAAACTCGGATTGGCCACGTGCATGGCAAATGCCCTACCTACTGTGCTATCGCTCCAGCCCCCATCATCATCTTTCTTTCCCTTTCAAATGATTCCTCACATTCATATATATGCTGATGCTATTTGTGTGTGTGTATGTGTGCATCTGTGAGGGGTTGGGGGGACCATGTGGTATTGGGGATTGAACCTGGGTCTCCCATGGGCAAGGGTGCTCCATGTCAGGAAGCATGGGATGTAGCCTGGTGACTATCAGGCACCTGATGGGCCATCAGCCTGTTAAATCCTGCCTTCCACATGGGGGCAGGTGCCGGCAGCCATTTGGTCCTGAGCAGTACTTAGGCTCCAGCGTGTGAGTTCCTGACACCCCTCGGAACTCCCTCCCTGCCCAAGTGTACTGATGTCAATAGCACTGCCGAGTTAGCAGTCAACAGACTTGTGTAACGACACCCTCAGTCAGGTTTCTTCCAGCTCCCCAAAGCCACCAGTCCCACATGAGACCTGGCCCTGGGAAACACCCACCTCTCAGCATTTGGCAGCCACCACGTACCTGTGCTCTTGATGCTGATGGGGTTCCCGGGTGACTTATATGAAGTGGGGAGGAGAGAGACCTTGAGAAGAAAATCTGCCACTTTCTTTGCCACCCAGGCATGGCTGGGGAAATCTAGGGCTGATAAGAGTTTCAGTTCTAGGGGCTGGAGCGATAGCACAGCGGGTAGGGCGTTTGCCTTGCACGCGGCCGATTTGGGTTCAATTCCCAGCATCCCATATGGTCCCCCGAGCACCACCAGGAGTAATTCCTGACTGCAGAGCCAGGAGTAACCCCCGTGCAACGCTGGATGGGACCCAAAAAGCAAAAGTGTGAAGGTATGGAAGGACATATCTCAAGAGCATGGGTGACACACGTGCTCGGGTACCACATGCAGCAACACACATGCACGGGCAGCACGCGGGCTCGGGGAGCACGTGCACGCTCCCTTTGTTCAAGTTGGCTTTTACAGGGTTTCTCCCAAGCTGCCTCACGTGGAGCTGCTACCTAGGTAAAAGTCCATTGCTAGGGTGGGTGCCAAGAGGTAGAGTGGGGATTGGTGGATGGTCTTCTTTGATGTTTTTTCCTGGCCCCTGTTCCTTCTGGAGCTTCTCAGTGGGGTGGAGGTGGCGGGGGGGGGGGGGCGTCTAGCCTTTTCTGGGTCTGTGCCGGCACGAGGTAATAGTCTCATCAGGCCTTAGCTCCTGTGTCCACAAGGTGGACTTTCGCAGCTTTGGGGCTACTGGTTTATTACTCCCCAGGAATTCACTGCCATGGGGGCCCTTCCCTATCCTCCTGCCTGCCTACTTCACGTTGAATATAAAGAGGGTGGGAGGAGGCTGTGCTCCAACTGCGCCCCCCCCCTCAGACAGCTCCCCCCGGAGACACAAGGGGACAGAGAGAAAGGGGCAGATTTTCTTTTGGAGGCTGCCGCCTCTCTCCTCCCCATTACGTGAACTAAGTCGCCCAGAGAACCCCACTTGCAGCTGTCCCCAAATCCCTCCAGGCATGATCCCTGCGCTCAGAGCCAGGAGCCAGCCCTGAGCACCGCTGGGTGTGGCTCTAAAAAGCCAACAAGCCAACAAACCAGAACTTGTAGATACAGCTGCTGGCTCCCCTCTCTCCAGGCCTTCCAGAACAATGCCTGTGTGTATCAACAAAGAAGGAATCACTGGGGGTGGAGGTGGGGGTGGGGGGAAGGTGTATGAGCAGATTCAGGGACCCCCCACTTTTTGCACCAGCTCCCACTGGCTGAATCTGGGTCCCTGAGTCCTGCACAGCTGGTGAAGCAAACCTAATGTTCTGTGCCCACAGTGCCAGTCCGTTGGCCCTCTTGGCACACAAACACCATGACGGGGGTGCAGAGCGGGAAGGGTGCTTGCCTGGCACACAGCCGGCCCAGGCAGTTGGATACACAGCACTGGATACCGTCCTCTGAGCCCTGCCAGGAGTCAACCCTGAGCTCAGAGGCAGAAGTGAGCCCTGGGCACCGCCAGGCATGGCCCCCAAAGCTAAACAAAACGCCATCGGTGCTGTAGTGAGGAATCAGAGATGTCTCAGTGACCTGCAGGCTGGCCCGGTGGGTGTCTGGGTGGGACCCAGTTCCCGGTTCAGAGCTGGTTTCCTTTGCACCATGTCCTGAAGTGGCTGAAAGACCCAGGAGCAACATGAGATCCCTTCACGGAGACTGTGAAGCTGTTTTGGGGTTTGAGATTAGCTAGGAAGTCTTGAACAGACTTGTCTGAATTGAAGAGCCGCCGAGCCTGAAAGCAATGATCTCCCTGAACTGATCAGCCCGGAGTGTGAGTCCAGGCAAAGTCTGAGAACATTCCTTGACACAAGTGTGAGGGGGGTGGGGGGATGCATGAAGGGCAGTTAGGATAGAAGAGGGACCAGTATGACAATCAGTTGGAAATGATCACTTTGGACAAGAGCTGAGTGTTGAAAGTAGGTAAAGGGTTAAAACTGATAACCTTTCAGTATCTGTGTTGCAAAACCATAATGCCCAAAAGGGGGGGAGGGAGAGAGAGAAGTGCCTGCCATAGAGGCAGGGTGGGGGCGGGAGGGAAACTGGCGACATTGGGGGTAGAAATGGAAAATGTATACTGATGAAGCGACAGTGTTGGAACATCATATAACTACAACCCAATATTGAACAACTTTGTAACTCTGTATCTCAGTGTGATTCAATTACAAAAATTAATTAAAAGCAAAACAAAACATTTCTGATCACATTCTGCTTGGCTACATTAGTCAACTTCCTCATTCGCTAAAGCGGCGCAATTACTGTACAGAAAGCAGACGCTCAAGGTGAGCCTTGAATAGTTAAAGAATTTTCTTTAACTCTGGCAGCAGGAAAAGCACTGCATGATAGCCACTTAGTCTGACGCGGTTATTCTTGGGAAATCCTGTCCCTGTGTCCTTGGAGTGTCTCGGCCTACTTCCCAACTACCAGTTAGCTGCCACCCGCTCTTCTGCTTTTCTGCTTTTATTTTTTTTGGGGGGGGGCACCTTGCCACAGCTGGAGTGCATGTCGGCATGCATGAGGGAGTTTTGGGTTCGATCCGTGGAACTTTGAGCACCGCTGGAGCAGCCCCTGGACACAACCGGGTGCCGCCCCCCAAAACAAAGCACAGTAGGCAGAAGAGCACCGAGTTCCCTTTCCTCAAGCAGCCTTAGGTCTCAAAGTGCTTCCCATGTCACATGATCTGGAAAACTATGCAGTATTGCGGATCAAGAGGTTCAAAGCTTCATGTTCACTTTTTTGGTTGGTTTATGCATCACAGCCGGCAATGCTCAAGGGTTGCTCCTGGCTCTTTGCTCAGAAATTACTCCTGGTGGTGCTTAGGGAACTATATGTGATGCTGGGGATTGGACCCAGGTCAGCCGCATGCCAGGCAAGTGCCCTATCCACTGTATATTCATTCCTGCCTCCAATTTCTGTATTCACTTTAAGAACGCTGGTGATGGCGCCCAAGCCACTGGAGACTTACAGATCCAAAAAGCCAGACTGTATCTGAAGGGTGGCCCTCAACAGGGGCACTGTGTAAAGGATGGCACCGGTAGGTGTGGCCAGACCAAAGAGTGGGGCTGGACACCGGGTTGGTGTGCCTCCAAAGAATACTATATACTTTTTCAGCAGATGCTTCCAAATGCAGAGTCGCCCTAAAATAAAAGGCTGAGATGTAGAGTCTCTGATCACCAAGTACATCCTGGTGACCAAAATGCTCAGTATGCACCTGGAACTTTGGGCGCTCACAGATTCATCCACCTACATGCTCCCCCTGCCACACAGAGAGGATCCCACTGAAAAACTGTAGATTGATCCTAACCCATGAGAGGAAGTTGCACAGAAGAGAATGGTTTGCCAGAAGGAACAGAAGGAGTAAACACTTGAGCCAGAGGTAGACCGGAAGTAAGGCACTTACTGGACATGTGGCCACTTCTGCTGATTCAGGTTCCATTCCTGGCACCATATGGTCCCCTGGGCATCACCCGGGCAGCCCTGGAGGGCCCTAAGTATTGCTTGAGTAATCTCTGACACTACAAGGCCCAAACAGCATTGCATCCTCAGGCCTCTCCACTGAATCCCTAGCCCAGTTGGCTGAGAATTGCCAAGAGGGGCCCCCAGATTTCCTGAGCACTGCTTGGTGGGCTCCCCACAAAGTATAACTTTCTGTGTAATAACAACCGTGTGTATTTCTTTTCTTTTCTTTTCTTTTCTTGTCACACCCGGCAATGCACAGGGGTTACTTCTGGCTCTGTACTCAGGAATTACTCCTGGCGGTGCTCAGGGGACCATATGGGATGCTGGGAATTGAATCTGAGTCTGCCGTGTTCAAGGAAAATGCCCTACCCACTGTGCTATCACTCCAGTCCCTATTTCTTTGTTAGTGAGTTGGTTTGTTCATATAGTTAGTTGTCTCCCCTCTTCCTGTCCCATTGTTGCTGTGAGGGACTGGGCTCTCCTTGTTTGGTTGTACTATTTGCCTCTGGGTCCACATACTTTTGTTTCGATGTTTCCATGAGCTCAACAGGGGTCCCCTTCCTTTAGCTGTGGTGCTTGTACATAGGCTGGTGGCAATGCTTACTTGGGCACCAATATGCCCATCCTTCCTTCTTTCCTTCCTTCCTTCCTTCCTTCCTTCCTTCCTTCCTTCCTTCTGTTCTTCCTTTTTTCATACCTGGCAGTCCTCAGGGCTTCTGTTCCGTACTTCTGTTCCGTACTC